ATGTCAGGCGAAACCCCAGAATCCTTGCCTCCAAGGAGCAGCCTGGTTTAACCCTCTCTAGGATGGATCTGTTTGTTCTCTTGGCAGTCCATGGTACACTCAATACTCTTCTCCAGCACCACAGCTCAAAGGCATCAATTCTCCTTCTATCCTCCCTAGTCATTGTCCAACTCTCTGATGCATAACAAGTGATTGAAAAAATTATAACTAATAACTAAACTGTCTATTCTTCCCTCCATTTCATGTAAACCAAACCCTGCTTATCCACAGTGATGAAAGTGGGATAAAGAATCTAGACTTCATCATGTGAGAGGATTGGAAGAGTGCACAAAACTTTTGCTTTTTGATTTTTTCTTTTTTTCTTAAATCCAAGCCCCTGGGAGATAGAAATCTTTAGTCCAGAACTATTTAAAATCTGTTTCCTAGAACTATAACTTTAACACACCCAAACTCGTTGTCTTTTGCCCTTACCTGTCCTTGGGAAGGAACATCCTTGGAAGGTCAACAAAAGAGAAGAAGACTCTAATGAGATGGATCAACACAGTGACTGCAGCAACAGGTTCAAGTGTGTCAGAGATGATGACGGCCCAGGGTAGGACAAGGCTCAGATCTGTTGTTCATAGGATCACTATGAGTCGTACTCAACTCAACTGCATCTAACAACAAAGTGAATAAAGTGACCTCTAGTGAGTAGATTCCATGGAGAAAGGGTGTGCAGTATCCTCCTGTGTGATATATGCCTCTGAAAACCCACTTGAGATCTATGGGTCAGATCCAACTCAAAAGCACAACAACAGCAGTGGGATGTTATTGAGTAATGATATCAGTTTGAGGACTAAGGTGTACCTGATTCAGGCAATAGTCTTTTCAGTCACTTGCTATGCATCTGAGACTTTGACAATGAGTAAAGATGACAAAAGAAGAATTCATGCTTTTGAACTGTGATGTTAGAGAAGAGTGCTGAAGATGGATGGTCAAAAGAACAAACAGATAATGTCTTGGAGAAGGTGCAGCCACAGTATTCCTTGAAGGCAAAGATGGTGAAGCTGTGTCTCATGCTTTGAGCACGTTGTTAAGAGGGACATCATACTTGGGAAGGTGGAGGAGTGACAAAAGAGAGGAAAACCCCAGCCATGTCAGTGGACAGTTGTGACTGCAGTGAGCTTAAGAGTGTCAGAGATTGTGAGGATGGCACAGATTAGGACAGTGTTCAGATTGGCTGTCCATACGGTCGCTATGAGTCATTCTTGACTGAATGGCACCTAACAACAGTGTGTAGGAAGTTGTACTGCCAAACCAAAAGCAGGTCATCCCATTCAACCAAGAAAGGCTATCTCCCTATCTCCCTATGCACAATTTACATCCTCTGAAAAGTTGGAAGGTCAACTCTGAGTCAGTTCCAACTTATCGGTACACAACAAATGAAGCATGAACATCTGAGAATAGGCTTCTGACTCATAAAAAGGAAATGAAGCGCCTTAGGCACTACCCTGAGTACCAACTTGAAAATTCCTTTTTTAACAACTGAAACAACTTTTTCTTGTTGGTGTTAGATAGCTAGGGAGTTGGCTGTGACTCATGTTGTTGTTCTTAGGTGCCATCCAGTCGAGTACAACTCATGGTGACCCTGTAAACAGCAGATCTGAACCCTTGTCCTGTCCTGCGCCATCCTCACAATCTCTGACACACATGACCCATTGTAGCAGGTAGTATGTCAGTCCACCTGGCTGAGAGTCTTCCTCTCTCTTGCTGTCCCTCTACCTTCTCAGGCATGATGTTTTTCTCCAATGGATGATAGCCTCTTCTAGCAACATGCCCAAAGAATGTAAGTGGAAGTTGTATCATCTTTGTCTCCAAGAAGCACTCTGGCTGCACCCTCTCCAACACCTACCAGTATAGAACGCATATATACCACCATGTCCAGTCCTGTGCCATCCTCACCGTTGCTACTACACAAATCCATCTCACTGAAGGTCTTCCTCTTTTATTACTCTGTAGAAAATCCTTTTCCTTAATGCTGAATTAGTAATTACATAAAATAATGTTTGCCACATCTTAATGAAAAATAGTGTTTTGACAGCACTATGCAGACCATTTTTTATTAGCAGCACTAAGTCAGCCCTGCTTGGGGTTTTTTTGATGTATAACTCAGTTGTTAAAAAGACAGTTGCCATGACTTGTGTCAGCTCTGACTTCGGGTGACCCCATGTGTGTGAGACTATGACCGTGCTCCACAGCATTTCCATGGACTTTTCTGGAGGTAGATCTCCTGACTTGTCTTCCATGACACCTCTGAGAGTTCTCAATCCACCAGTGTTTTTGATACCAGGGCTCCTATCCATTTGTTGGTGGTGGTGGTGTTAGGTGCCATAGTCTTCATATGTAATGAAGATGAATCTTTTATTACTTTATTGTTGTTGATAATGCTGATTATAAAAAAAATTATCAGAGAATATCAGAGTCCGCTAACATGGCACACAATTTTTTCCAAACTTTTGATGAATGTTCACATATGAGGGAGTAGTCCAGGGAGAGAAAACATTAGTATGTATGTAATAAAATAAAAGCCCTATAAGGTATTACTGTAGTAGATCAACCTTCACAGAAAATATCTTTGAATAAACATTCTTATCTCTATGGGCTCCAGTGGCCTGCTGGGTACAGCTGTGCGGCTCACCCAAAGGTGACACCTTGTGTGACAGTTCACCCACCATCTGCTCCTCTTAATTTTCATAGGTAAAACCATTAAGTAATATTAAAGAATAATGGATGACCATCAGATGCTCTGCTGGAGAAGGAGGGGCAGTCTCCTCCTGTACCAGTCAGATCTGATTTGGCGGTACACACAGAAAAAATAATAGAGTAAAATAAAAAAATTTAAAAAAAGAACAATGGATGATAAAAATAGTTTCTGAAAGCCACCCTGTTTCTTTAGTTGTTGGGCACCATCAAGTCGAGTCGTTTCCGACTCATAGCGACCCTATGCACAACAGCCCTAAACCCCGCTCTATCCTGCGCACCGCACTGCCTCTGACACACCCATCCCGATTACCCCAGTCACTGAATCGATCCATCTCATAGAGGGTCTTCTCCTCCTGCGCTGTCCCTCCACCCTCCCAAGCATGATGTCCCTCTCTAAGGACCCGTCCCTCCTGGCAACATGTCCAAAGTATGTCAGACGAAGACCCAGAATCCTTGCCTCCAAGGAGTAGCTTGGTTTAATCCTCTCCAAGATGAATCTGTTTGTTTTCCTGGTAGTCCATGGTACATTCAGTACCCTTCTCCAGCACCACAGCTCAAAAGCATCCACTCTCCTTCTGTCCTCCCTAGTCATTGACCAACTCTCTGATGCATAACAAGCGATTGCAAAGACCATGGCCTGTATCAGGCACACCTTAGTCTCCAGAGAGACACTGTCGCTCCTGAGTACCTTTGAGAGGTCCCTAACAGCAGACTTTCCCATCGCGATACGCTTTTTGATTTCCTGACTCCTGGTGCCAAGAGTGTTGACTGTAGAGCCGAGCAAACTGAAGCTGTGAACACTCTCAATCTCTTCGTCATCCATCCTGACACTGCCAATTGGTCCAGTGGCGAGAATCTTTGTCTTCTTGACATTGAGCCTTAGTCCATCCTGAAGGCTGCAGTCCTTGACCCTTCGCAGCAAGTGCATGAGGTTCTCCTCAGTTTCAGCAAGCAGGGTTGTGTCATCTGCATAACGCAGATTGTTAATAGATCTTCCACCAATCCTGATGCCACAGTTCTTCTCATAGAGCCCAGCTTCTCGGATAATCTGCTCTGCATACATGTTGAAAAGGTATGGAGACAGGATGCATCCCTGGTGTACACCCTTCTCAATTTTGAACCATGCAGTGTTACCCTGCTCTGTTCTGACTACTGCCTCTTGACCCAAGTACAGGTTTCGCATTAGCACAATTAAATGTTCTGGGATTCCCATTCTTCTCAGAGTCAGCCACAGTTTGTTATGATCCACACAGTCAAATGCCTTTGCATAATCAATGAAACACAGATAGACATTCTTCTGGTATTCTCTGCTTTCAGCCAAGATCCATCTAACATCAGCAACAATATTCCTAGTACCATGACCCCTCTAAACCCCCCTAGTAACCAGAGTTTTATTTAAAAGTTAATATTACAGGGAGCTCTGGTGGCCTAGTGGCAAGAAGCTGCACTGCAATCCCAGAGGCACACAGTTCAAATCCACTAGATGCTCTGCTGGAAAAGGAGGGACAATCTACTCCTGTAACAGTCAGATCCGATTTGGCGGTACATGCACACAAAATAATAAAATAAAATTTAAAAAAAAAGTTAGTGTTACGGAATCTTTAATATGGATGGTGCAAAGGGTTAGCACTCTACAACTGGTCAAAAAGTTGGCAGTTTGAACCCCTCCAGAGTTTTCTCAGAAGTAGACGTAGTGGTTGCTGCCACAAGGTCACAGTCTTGAAAACCCAACAGGGAGTCCTATTCTGTACTAATGGGTTTTCCATGAGTCAAAATCAACTCCACAGTAACTAAACTAAACAGACATTAATTCGCTGTTAGATACCTTCACGTTGACTCTGACTCATAGCAACCCTTACATGAGTGGAGTGAAACCCTCAGGATTCTCTGCCATCCTCACAGTCACGAGTGTGCTGAAGCCATTGCTGTAGTTGCTTTACCAGTTCATCTCGTTGAAAGCCTTCTTCTCCTTCACTAACCCTCTACTTTTCCAAGTTTATGTCTTTTCCCAGGATAACATGCCTTCAAGTAACATGCCCAAAGTATATGAGACAAAGCCTCCCCATCCTGAATTCTGAGGAGCACTGGCTGCCCTTCCGCCAGGACAGATTTAGACTTCATCCAAGTTTATGGAAATTAACTGACCGAAGCTGCAATTAAAAAGATTAGACTGTATGTTATTCTAACCAGAATAACATATTTATTCACCTATAAATTAATGTATATTAGGACATTTAGATTTTTTTTTTCTTTTCTAGGTTTGTGTTTCAGCAATCAGAAAAGTTTGCAAGAGTGGAAAACCAGTACCAACTACTGAGACTAGAAGCCAATGATTTCCAAGGACTTCAAAGGAAAATCAGTTTAATTTCAGAAAAGGTAGGTAATTATTTACTGAATTATTTGGGGAGATTTTTATTTTTTTTCTTTCACACTATTGGTGAGGAATTTCTTTGATTCTACCTTTCAAACCCTTATTATTTTTACTCACTGGCTTTCCTTCTTCCTGACATTCTTTCTTCAATTCAATTTAAACTCTGATTATATTTTGAAACAAAAAGGTAAGTGTGGTCTATTGACTTCACCTCAGCTGTCTATTTAAATATGAGATATCTGAAATACCAAGACCACACCCATGGCCATCACGTTGATTCTGACCCATAGCAGCTCCACAGGGGAGAAGAACTGCACCAGAGAGTTTGTGAGAAGCAGACTTCATTCTTCCTTAGAACAGCAGGTAGATTCAGACTGCACCACCAGGGCTCCTGTCAGAGATGAAGGAAATGTAAAATACACCTTATCATTAAATATAAAATTAGAATATGAATAGCATTTTTGTTGTTGTTGTTGTTAGGTGTCATAGAGTCGAGTACAACTCACAGCGACCCTGTGAACAAAAAATCTGAACCCTGTTCTATCCTGCATCATCCTCACACTTCCTGACATGCAAGAGCCCATTGCAGCAGTCACTGTGTCAGTTCACCTAGTGGAGGGTATTTCTCTCCTTCACCAACCCTCTAACCTTCATGTCCTCCTCCAAGGAATAGCCCCTGCTAGCAACATGCCCAAAGTATGTGAGGCGAAGCCTTGTCATTCTTGCCTCCAAAGAGCACTCCGGCTGCACCCTATCCAAGACATATCCAATACATAAAATAGCATTTACTGAGTAAAAATTTACCCATTTTTGTCATTTCTTTCCCATTTTGCATGTGCATATGCAATAGAATGTCTAACCTTAAGTATTGATTCTGTAGCCAAATAATGGTTCTACTAAAAACTAACACCAGTATTCACTTTGTTTCTTAAAGCAATAAGTGCTAACTAATATCCACCAAATTGCTGTGATTCTTAGAAATTTGAGGCATACGAAATTTGGGGGTTTTTTTCACAGACATTATGGGTTCCTTTGACATGAAGACGTCTGTAATTCCTATTCCTCTAAGGAGAGAGTTGACCACGATCAGGAAGGTTATCAGTGCAGGCTTTGTCTGAGTATCAAGAACTGAGCTAGCACTGGACAACATACTTTGTTCATTTCTTCAGTCAGCAAACATCTACTTGTGTCCTAAAGTAGGTGAGAACTTGTGCTTGCCACTCAATGGGCAGGCGTGTTATAAAAGCAGACGTGATAGAAGGACTGCAGCCATAGGGTCTAATTGCCTGCAGTCTTCTACACAAGATGAATGACAAGCTCCCAGAAGGGAAGAACTGTGTGTGAAAATGATGCATCTCAGCAAATCCTGATAGATTTTATGAAGAATCAGCTCAGGAGCCTCTAGGGAGAAGGTTCATGGAGCTAAGATTTCAACATAGGGCTCAAGTTTAAATCTTGTTGTAGTTATTGGGCTTACTCTAATAAAGAACCTACCGAGAGAAAAAATCTTCAGAGGCTGAAAACTTCACGTGATTTTGTTGTTGTTGTGTGGACGACTTGATTGCCACTCATAGCGAGCCTGTGAACAATGGCTCTGAACCTTGCCAGATCAGGAGCTAGCACACCTGACCCTATTGCCATAGTCACTGTGTCAATCCATCTCATTCAGGGGCTTCCTCTCCTGCACTCACCTTCCACCCTTCCAAACATGATATCTTTCTCCAAGGACTGGCCTAAAGTGAATGTGATGAAGTCTTAAAATCCTTGCCTCCAAGGAGTAACCTAGTTTCACCCTCTCTAGGACAGACCTGTTTGTTCTCTTGAAATCTGTGATATGTTCAGTACTTTTCTCCAACACCCACAACTCAAAGGCATCAATTCTACTGTCATCCTTACTCATTATTCAGCTCTCATATGCATAGCAAGCAATTGAGAAGACTATGGCCTGGATCAGGTGCACCTGAGTCTCTAGATTGTGACATCATTGCACTTCAGCACCCTGGAGAGGCCCTTGACAGCAGATTTTCCCAGTGCAATTCATCTTTTGATATCTTGATTGTTGGTGTCAAGGGTGTTGACTGTAGCTTTGAGCAAGAAGCAATCATTAACAACTTCAGTCCTTCCTTTGTCTATCTTGATGCTGCTTATTGGCACAATGCTGAGGATTTTTGTGTTCCTGATGTTGAGATGCAATCCATACTGAAAGCTGCACTCTTTGATCTTCTGCAGCAAGCACTCAAGTCCTGTTTAAAACAAATTTTGAACAATATTAGCAATATTTTTAAACTGCAAAAATGTAAATGCTTTTGGAAACAAATTTTCAAATATCATTTTAAGATCCTCCAAGAAATAGCTCTTCTTTCCCTGTCTTCCCTGAGAGTAGTTTAATAGTAACGACCTTTTTCACTACAGTTAGAGACTGAAAGGCAGTCTGAGTGGGATACAACTAGACATGTGTTCTCATGACTAATAAGTGGCCTTTCACAAGGTCACTTCTTTTGGCCTCCATTGAATCATTTAGTAAAAGGGAATAACAAGTTGTTTGTAGGAATTAGATGAAATAAAATATGTGTGAAAACTTTCAAACACTAATAAATTTAATGTATTAGGGTTAGAGTTAGGCATTACGATAGAAGCATCATAGGGGAGTTCTGGTGGCCTAGTGGCATGGAACTGCAACTACAATCCCAGAGGCGCACGGTTCGAATCCACCAGATGTTCTGCCGGGGAAGGAGGGATAGATAATCTCCTCCTGTACCAGTCAGATCTGATTTGACGGTACACGCACACAAAAATAAATTAAAAAAAAAAGAAGAAGAAGAAGAAGCATGGTGATATACCATCAAAAGTATCTGCCTGTTACTTTAGGAATAAATGCAAGGATATTAAAATGAGGGGGAAGCATAAGATTTAATCTCTCTTAACAAATGTGGAAGTGTTCCCAACTTCTTCACCTAGTGAACTCATCAGGCTGTTAAAATGTCTTATTTTGGAGTTACTTCTAAGTCTTGCCTGACTGCCATTCCCACTTTGTATCTCTTCTCTAGCATCTGTAACTCCTTGTGCTGATTTTTTGTGTGTGTGTGATCTACCAGCTGCTCTGCTGGAGAAAAATGGGTCCTCTCCTCCTCCCATGAGATCTAAAACCTGTGAAAATTGCTGGGAAGTTAGCTGTGTGTCAGTTCCAGCTCAACGGCAATGAACAACATCACTCTCTATTGTAATGCATTGTTGCAAATTTGCCCTTCTCTCCTGTTCTGTAGAGAAAACACTGTGTTTTTTCTCTGTTTACCTACTAAGGTAACTAGTCCACAGAAGGCACTGGCCAGCATGTGTAGTGTGACATACCCAAAACACAGTCTCTTCCAGTTAGCTTGTAAAATTTTGAAATCATGATGCATATTTTACCATAGTTATGATTTATGTGCTATATTGAAGAGTAAACACTGATAAATTACTGAATTATATCTGCTAGCTGCCCAAAAAGGTGGCAAACATAATTCATTAGATGCTATAGGAGTTCCAGCTGTTAGAACCAAGACTAGAATATGCTGCTGAGGATTGGTGGTCCAGTGTAAATCTTGAAATAAGGATGAAACTTAGTTCAACAGAGAAGGTGATTAACAAATGGAAGGGCCATGGAATTTGGTACTTTCTCGTAGAATTATTAAGAAATATCATAAGCTGTTGAACAATTTTATAGTGCCAGGAAGCTCCAAAGTCGAGCAGTTCAACTCCCTCAGCAGCTCTGGAGGAGAAAGACGAGCAATCTCGTGTGATTTACTACCTCTGAAAGCCCACTGGAGGGTCACTGAGTTGGTTTCAACTCATTGGTACATAACAACATTGTGCTCGTGTGCATAACAGTTTCTGAAAGTTTTATCTGAGAGTAATTTGTAGGATGACTCGGAGAAGTCATTGGAAGCAGCGAATAATCCTTCTTCTAGAATACTTTTCTGATCTTTGAAGTCTGGGTTGGATTCCTAACCCAAGTGTCTTCAAAGTTCTTCCGTCTCAGAGTGCATGCAGACTTGCCTTTTTCCCCAATGAAATTATGGTACTCAAAGGCAGAACTTGTGCCTCTTCACTCTCATGACCTCAACAGCATGCTGCCAACTTGGATATATTAGTGATCGTTTCTGGGACTTCCTATAGTCTTTAAAGACGTTCTATGTGTGAGTGTGAGCTAAAAGCGAGCCACAATGCAACCCTCGTGGTTCCAGAGGTATTAGGAGCTTCAGGAGCTCACCACACTTTAAGACTCTCAGAACACATGTGATAAGAATTGTCATTCATTTAGAACACATTTCTTGAGAATTGTCCCGCTAATACAATTTTTCATTTGTTTTTGCCTTTGCTCTAAAGATCTGATTTTGACTTCAGCTCTGCACGAAGTTGGTCAACAAATTTGTTTCCAATCTAAAAGATCCTTTAGAATCAGGATTTAAGAAAGTTAGCAAATTTCAGAACTAAATTACTAATGTTGAATGTATTAAGTTGGGTTTCTGTCACTGAAATCAATAATCCAAACTATTACATCTACCAAATATTGTGGTAGTGATGTGTCTGTCATTAGGCGGCTCTGTCTTGTAGCTGTCGTGTATACACCAGAAGTACTCCCCAGTCCTGTTCTGTCCTCACAGTCACTGCTGCACTGAAGTTCATTATTGCAGCCTCTCTGTCTGTCCATCTTGTTGAGGGTCTTCATCTTTTCTCTGACCCTAAAAGAGCTAAATAATCATAAAAATGATATCTAAATT